ATATCATAGAGTACTTGTCCCATTTATATACAAGTAAAGTGCATTTTATTTATTAGTAAAGTGAATGTGATGCATGTGATACATAATTTGTATTTTAATATTTTTTATTTTACTTTTCTCTTTTATATTTTTATGATCTATGCAATTTTTCGTATTATTATTTTTGGTTAATTAAATAAAAGAAGTATATTATATAATGAATTGTGTCAAATATATTGAAAGCTGAAACACAATTTTCAAAATTATAATGTCTAAAAGTCATGGTAAAAAAGATTGCATTAAAATTTCGGCTGACAATCTCTCATTGTCTAAGTTAGTCTTGTTTATTCGAAATCTTTTTGTTTGGAGAATTAAGAAATATGCACAGTAAAACTAAATTAAAATCTTTCATGACAAGAATGATTGCATGCGATAGTTTACAATTTTGTCTTCTTATCTTGTTGAAAAAGACAGTTCTTTGACACTATTTTTATTAAATAAATAAAACAAGTTATAATTTAATTGATATATGGTAGCAAACTTTCTAAATATTATTCATATTATCTTCCATTTTCAAGTGACATAGCTTTCATATGCAATTGTCACTTGATTTAATTAATTATACTTATTTTTATGAGTTATAAATATATATTAAAATTCAAGTTCTGGTCGAATTTAAGTTTTTATATTTTCACCTGATCTATTTTATTTTTTTCATTTATCATTTTATTCACAATCTCATTTGGGTTTTAATAATTTTAAAAAATAATTTAAAAACATTAAAAATATTTTTTCGGAAAATTCTATTTTATTTGTCGCTTAAGGTATAAATTAAATTAAATTAAAATTTTTATAGTCTGTATTGCTCAGGTCACATCCCGCTCCACCCCGTCAAATGAGTAAGCGGGGCTGAGTTATTTGAGACCCGCTAGGGAACGGGCCTAAATTGATCAGCCTGCACAGGCCGTGGGCTTTGGCGGGGTGGACCTAACGGGCAGGGCTGGCCGCCAATTAAAACAATATATAATTTAATATAAATATATTAAGTATATAGTAGTTCAATACTTAAGCTCAAGCCCACCTAAAAAAAAAATTCAAAAGACTGAAGCTCAACAAATGAAAAATATTTTAAAATGGTTGTCCAAGTCCAACCTCATTTTTAATCAAACAAAAATAAAAAAAAAAAAATAAAAAAAAATAAACAAATAAATAAAAAAAAAGTCCAACCTCCAACGTAAAACTTGTAGTATTGTTGTATTAAATAGCCATCAAGGTTCAAGAGTAAAAAAGAAAGAGGGTGGGCCGGCCCTCGCGGATAAATGAGGGTGATTGGATATGAATTCAACTAGTAAAAAAATTAATTTTTATATCTATAGTTAAATTTAAAAAAAAAATAGTATGATTAGTTGTTAGTGGATATATTAAAATAATATTTAAATTAAATAATTAAAGTTGATTTGATGTAAAAGTAGAAGAAAATGATTGGAAGTGATGGTTAGTTAAAATTATGTGAGTGGATGAATAGTGAATTAAAGTTGATGTGATATGTAATAATGATTGGTAGATATTGTTTAATTATATTGATAATATTAAAGATAATAGAGTTGAGTTAAAGTTGAGTTAAAATTAAGTTTTGAGTGAGATATTTACTGGACAATTCATGAATAATCACGCCCTAAGATTTGGTGTTGCATCGTGTTCTTGGTAGTATATTTCTTTTGTCTCCACATAAATGTAGTCTTGAATTTCAACAATGTCCTGAAAAAAGAATTAAGGGGTGATTGTTTATGAACTAGTACAGAGCCCGTGCGATGCACGGGGTGCACAATTTTAAGGTTATTTATCCATTCTTATAATTATATAAATGAATTAAAAAAATGTACGGGATATATATAGTACGTGACCTGTAATAGGCCAAAATGTTAACACGGGTAATGCACGGGGTGCACAATTTTAAGGTCATTTATTAGTACAGAGCCCGTGCGATGCACGGGGTGCACAATTTTCTAGTATGTGTAATAAAAATACATACCGTTTGCACGGGACAGAAGCACTAAATGAGTCATTCCACAGAGCTTGCCCGTTAAGTAGCTCCTGAATACGGGTGCACAATTTGTAGTACGTACCATAAAATCAGAACAGATTTCCATACAATTAAATAATAAATTAGATAATAAATAAAGTCTTTTTATTTTAGTAAAGATTTTACGTACTTTGTTTTTTTACTTATCAGATGTTATGTGATTTTTTTGTTAAACCAATTTTATGGAACATAATACAAATACAATTAGAGGATTGAACAAAATCAGAACAGATTTTCATACAATTAGATAATAAAAAGGAATTAGATAGGGAAAAGAATGAATTAGATAAGAAAAAGAAGGAATTAGATAAGGAATTTTGAATCTATTTTTTTTTATAGATAGACTTTACGTACAAATTTTGACTTCACTGATTTTATGGGATTTATTTTGACAAAATCGATGTTAATATGGAATAATACAAATAAATAAAATCTTTTTATTTTAGTAAAGATTTTACGTCTTTTTTTTTTTACTTGTCATATGTTATGAGATTTTTTTTTTCTTAAACTGATTTTATGGGATATAAGACAAATAAATAAAATAATTAAATAAAATTTTGGATAAAAATAGCAATGCATTAATTACGTTGACTTTTCAATTTACTAAATTTGGTAAATAGGATACCTTATATAATAAGTATAGATACAAATAAATAACATGCCAAACTTTTACATAATAATTAATGTATTTTAATTTATTATCTAGCCATCAGTAATATCATTTAATGATGTGATAATTATTTCTTAAATGATAAATAAAATATTAATTTAAAAAAAAATATTTGTTTTTTATATACTCAAATAAAAATTAAAAAATACTATCGACAAATATGAATTATAATATATATCAGTAAAATCATTGCAGAAGTTAATAAAATTATTTAAGGAAAGAATCTTTTTGATCATATTTGAATATGAATGTATATATACAAGTAATTAATGCATATAGCAAAAAATTTAAGTATGCATTAAATGTGAGTTGACTTTTTTTGTTACTATTTTTGGTAAATAGTATGACTTTTAATATAAGTATAGATTCATTTAGAAAGTAATTGGTTTTTTTAACTATAGTTAATTTTGAAAAAAGTTGGTATAGTTAGTTGTTAGTGGATATGTTAAAATAATATTTAAAATAAAATATTTAGAGTTGATAATGTGTAAAAGTAACAGAAAAATGATTGAAAGTGATGGTTAGTTAAAATAATGTGAGTGGATGAATAGTAAATTAAAGTTGATGTGATGTGTAAGAATGATTAATTGAATGATTGGTTGATATTATTTAATTACATTGATAATATTGAAGATAGTAGGGTTGAGTTAAAATTGAGTTAAATTTGAGTTTTAATTACTTTTTTGGAGTGAATTGATAAACAATCACACCCTAAGCTTTTTAATATATATATTTTTTTAAAAAAATTTGGCGGGCCAGCCCACCTAGTCCGCGGTCCATGGCGGGGTGGGCCGGGCTGGCCATTTAGAGGCTCGCCAGGATGGCGGGCCGCCCCGCCCCGCCCC